AGTGTTCAATATCTACTATTTGCTTCCGATAATTAAAATAGGATTTAAACCAGTTATGTACTAGCCCACGGATACCCGAATTCGTAAGTTTTAAAAGTAGTTTATCATAGGGCACCCTATCATATGCTTTCGTCATATCAAGTAAAATACCAAAAGTATGTTTTTTATTATTTAAATTTTGTAGGGCCATTTGTATAAACTTATATACAGCTAGGGTGGTTTCTTCTCTTGATTTTCTGAATCCATTTTGGCTATCATCTAGTATTTCATACTTTTCAAGGAATGAGTAGAGTCTATTGAAGCTGAATTCAAAAGAATTCAGCTTCATCCCGGAGTTTCATATTTTTTTTATATTATTAGTGATCCATGGATATTGGAAATACCTTACTGTTTTTGTGCGGATAGGCGCATGAATATCAAATAACAATTACATCATTGTGTTAAAAAGAGATACCATATCATGAACGTCATTCATGATCTCCCAGTTCACTTTAGATCCAATTCAAGTTGTTCGACATCAATAGAATGTAAGTCTTTACGTGATATTATAATTGTTTTTTGTTTGAGCTTTTTAAGATTAATTTCACACCAAATAAATGCATGGTTACTCAGATCGGGTATGTGATTAACGAAAATATCGTACCTAGAAACAACTGCCTATTCGTTTTAGTCAGTCGTTCGTTTATATAGATTTTGCAGAGTACGAACTTAAGGCCTAGAGCCTTGGTTGTGAGAGACCGACGGACGCGCGCAGCGCGCAGCACGTGATTATTGTACAAGTCGCACCGCGCCAGTCGCACAATAATGAGGCGCGGGCGGTACTTGGCGTCCTGGCGGGCGCCTCTCATTCGCATACCATTGCAGTTCCCTTTCCTCCAAGTGAATTCCAAGCTTGGTAAGACATGTCAGAACTAAGTGTGTTGGGTTCTCCCCACACTTCTCTGGAATGCCCTATGATTTAACTCGAATTGCAGCTGATTGACGCTCGACTCAAGTTTCAGGATTTCACTTTTGAATCCTTGAGAGCCATATTGCTCTTGTAATCCCAGGATAGTTTGGCCCGTGTTCTCCAGCTTATCTAAACAAGCATCACATTTACTGATAAGGGCTCTTATGTCCGAATTTCTTCACCAGTTTACTGCATATCTTCTCGGAAACATTGCAATTCCTCTCCGAGTTCTGAAACCTCACTCGAATTCTCAACATTCTCTGTTGAGGATTTTACCGGCGTTGTGTCCTTGTTGCAGCGACTTTCTTTCAATTTGCATTCAGGGCAAGCCCAGGACGGCATTATTGAAGCGCCCACTGCAATGCCTACACACGTACGATGTAGCTGTTGACTGCACTTTATACAAATGACATTAGCGCCATCTTGCGGTGAGATGTATTTACCGCATGCACTGCACTCTACCGGCACGATGAATAAGCTTTAATAGTTGATAAAGCTAAATTATGCGTTGATTCATTAGTGCACAACGGAGACGTTAGATGAAGTTGTGTTGATTAATAGCATATGACGATAATATAAATGATAATATAAAAAAAAAATTATGACTTTTAAAAATAAAACGTTTTTAATATGTAAATGTTGTTTTTCACTATTTATTCACTAATCACTCTAATGTATCCACACTATATAAGGTTCACAGAAAACAGATGTTTAACTTTTACACAAAATATCTGACTTGCCGCTTGACCATGTGGTTCTATCACTATTAGTGGTAGAGCCACGCGGCACTTTTTGCTGTCGCACCGATATAACCGGGTGGTATCGACCTCACAAAATACCACCGTGAAGTAGATGTTTCGTAGATGTAGATGTTCTTCGGCTGCCTGCACTCACCAAGCGAAACGCAGTTTTGCTTGGTGAGTGCAGGCAGCCGAAGGCCCAATCCCCCCCATCAACACGGTAGCGGAATTAAACGAAAAACTACCCTAGGAGGAAACCAGCACCCCTGGAGAATCCTTTGCTGAGCATCCACGACCAAGTTACTTCACTCCTGAGCGTGTGTGCTCAGGAGTGTAGTAACTTGGTCGTGTATAATACGCGGGGACACGTATTCTGGGAGGTGGGCAAAATTCCACTCGCGACTAATACTGCTGGTACCTTGAGGATCACCAGGTGACTAGTGACCGCCAATACGGTTTTCGTCGGGTACGATCAGCTGGTGATCTTCTGGTCCACCTAACTCATAGATGGGCGAAGGCAGTAGAGTCCAAGGGGGAGGCATTGGCTGTTAGTTTGGACATAGTAAAGGCCTTCGATCGGGTCTGGCACAAAGCGCTTTTTTCGAAGCTCCCTTCCTACGGGCTTACCGAGAAATTGTGTTGTAATTTCTCGGTTGCTGATCGGAGCATCAAGGTCGTAGTAGACGGTGCATGCTCTGATTACAAGCCTACAACGCTGATGTTCCACAAGGCTGCGTGCTATCACCAACGCTGTTTCTTTTGCATATCAATGATATGCTACAAGCTGCTAACATTCATTGCTATGCAGACGACAGCACTGGTGATGCCTTATATACAGGCTGTGCCAGGACAAACTTGTGTCTGAAGTCGAGTCTTTGCTGAACAAAGTCTCGGATTGGGGGCGACTAAATCTAGTACAGGTCACAACTTGACCAAATCCAGCGCAGGGCGGTTCGAATCGTCGACGACCGAGTTCTTTCTGATAGACTTGATACACTGGCGCTGTGTAGGGAATTGCATCCCTTTGTAGTTTCTATCGAATCTACCACGGGGAGTGCATTGAGGAATTGTTCGGATTAATTCCAGCAGCCAAATTTCACAAACACACATCGCGTCAAAAGTCACGATACCATCCTCACCATCTAGATGCTTGGCGGTCCACGACTGTGTGTTTTACTATGAGTTTTCTTCCTCGTACAACTTCTCTGTGGATTCAATTACAACCGGCGATTTTTCCGGACCGATACGACTTAGGGTCCTTCAAGAAAAGAGCTTACACCTTTCTAAAAGGCCGGCAACGCATCTGCAATTCAGCTGGTGTTGCGGATATTCATGGGCGGAGGTAGTCACTTACCATCAGGTGAGCCGCATGCTCGTATGCCCCCTCTTCTTAAAAAAATAACTTAAATAACGTTTAAGTAATTTTAAATTTACATAAACTTTTCTGACTCACTATATCTACTTACGTATATCACGACAGGGGTCCGTGACGTCGTCACTCCTTATAGATAAAGTAATTCAATGATCTTAAGGTAGTTTGGTGTTCGCTCAATCTATTACCTTATGGACGATAAGGTTTTTACTAAGATGATGGAATACCTTACAAGCTGTAACTATACAGGCTCTCTATATTCAGGCCAGAACTGCCATTTGGCAGCAGAGGGTGTTACTTATCCAAACAAACTCCCAGGCAGAAGTCCTAATTCGATGCGCAATTATGTAATTAAAACATAATTTACTTTTTATTAAAGTCACTCCGGAGGCGATAACTATCTACTTTGCAGCTTCTGAATGTGGTATTAACATATTTTAAAATTTTATGGTAGGTATTCATATCTTTATATTTTATATTCCAGGCTCCTTATTTTTTATCATTTCCTATTGGGAATTTTGATTGTGAACACTGAGTTGCACATATTTTTTATCTTTGTTAATAAGATATATATACCTACGGTATTACCCTAAATCTAATCTTTACCAAGTCTGAATATTGTAATAATGTATTCACTTTAATTATGTATCTAATTAAAGATAATTTTCATCCTGTCTCTTTTTTATCATTAAGTAAAAAGAGCGTTAAATTGAACAGTTGAAGTAAATATGTGTAATTATTGAAACAAAAGTTATGATAGCTTTATAATTAAATTTATTAAGCATTTTTTTGGGAAGTAATACAAGTTTTATCAAACAGCAACAAACCCAAATATAAATTACATAGAAAAGCAGTCCAAATGTATAATCTTTGAACAAGTATCCAAACCTGTTTGTTCCGATGTTGTAAAACACAATGAAACATAATTCGATTTACATTCAAACCCCGTGTACTGGCGTTATAAGAGAATCCACCATCCGATTTCGTAACTTTCAACTTGTGTTCATCCCAAATATTTCTTTACTCACTGTCGACGTGGTTACTTACAGAGGCAATGAATGCGTGATTTCTATAGTCAAGAAACGTTTGTTTCTACGGTCAACAGTTCTGTAACGAGCCGTTTTATTACGTAAGAGATGCATGTAAAAGGTTTATATTACAAACTTTTCACTCCGCAACTTAGGACGACTTAAAAAGAAAATACTTAAAGGGATCATGAATAGTTGAGCAGGTATTTTGATTAAACAAGTGGTGAAATTAAAAAGTTTGTACAACCGACTTCAATGTATGTAAATAAAATGAGAACATCATCAATGCAGGCGAAGTAAATTAAATACGCATTATTAAGAATAACTCAAAAACTACGTGTCATATCTTGATCTAATTTATATGGGGCTACATGAGAAGTACCAGCTATGAAATAAAAGAAGAATCATCCAAATTGGTTCATCTAGAAAAGTTCTAAGGTAACACACAAAGAAATACAGTCTAATTGAGAACCTCCTCCTTTTTTGTTGTTTTCGGTTAATAAGGGGTTTTCATGCTTTGTTTACTCTAAAACAGCTCGAAAAAACGAAACGTTTTTAAATATAGAAACTTAGCATAAGATAAACCTCTTAATATGGGTGAGACCTACGCCCCGTACTTGAATGCGTGGATTGCTGTGGAATTATGACTTTAGTTTTTAATCAAACGTGGTGCCTGTTTGCATGTCGATGGTATATCACCGTGTGCACAGTTGTTACAGACGCGTGAGGGAGAAGGGAATGAAAAGTCATGTTTGTGCAAGGTACATTTACCACGATTTATTACATATAACAGCGATCGAGGAAATGTATCAGCGGCAGATCGGAAAGAGTTCGCGGGCGACGCGCCTGCAAATATGGCGAAGCCGCCCGCGAGCAATGTCCGCTACGCGGCAAAATAAATAAACATAAATACAACAATTAACATTTATTTCAATCCATAGAACCATATAAGTTATAATCAAACAAAATACTACTCGTACATGTAAATCAATATGGTTTTATGTTGTCGTAATGTCCATGGGAAGGTAGTGTGAAGACGGGGGTAGGGGGAGTGGAAATAAATAAGGGAGGCGGAGAATGGCGGGCGCGGGGTGCGGCAAGGCGATTCTTCCGCGATGCTCTTACATACAACTCCTTCTTATCACGATACCTTATTATAACATTATATATCCATATTACATATTTTCGGAGAAACAATTTAGTATAGATATATATCATATTGCGTAATTCATTGTATACTTTTTAACAAACAAGATGGAATATCAAATGCCACACTGCGCGGCCGATTAACATTAAGTTAATTACATTTAATATCATTTTGATATGAAACAGTGCATTTCAAAAGTTCAACCGTCACACCTTTATAGTATCCCTCACGTGTAAACCTTTATAGAAAAAACATTTTATTGTTCTCGCTTTGTATTCATAAAATACTTTCAAATGCAACAACTTCTTAGTCTTAGTTCATAAACATTACTTTTTTATTTCAATTCAATAAACATTCAATTGACTCATTTATCAACGACAAAAACCTACAAAAATATATTATAAGATTAGCACGAGTCAAATAGAGTGCAGAGGAAAAGTCCAGATGATGCAGTCATGTGCATGGGGACGCGGCCGCGCGGGTTGGTCCGGGGCGAGCGGACGCGATGGGAACGCGGCGGACACGATACGCTTTCGCACGGCCGCGCTGTTTGGGTAACGGTGTGAGGCACGGAGCGCCGATCCATATCTATGTACGCGGGTCCAACCCTTTTGACGCGATAACGCGAGTCTCTTTTAAAACTAAAAAAAATAATATAAACTTTCAAAAACGTTAACAACTACAGCCATAACAAAAAATATACTAATAACGACTACGCTACGGAATCTACGTACTACTTACACTACCTACTATGTAAATTTGAAACGAAACTAGTGTTCGCTCACTACGGAAACGACAGAGGGCGCGAGCGGGGCACCCAGGGAATTGGGACTGAGTCGTTATCGCCGGGCGCCTCGCGGGCTAATCTCATACGGAGCGGTCCTACGAAGCGAGCCAGAGCGGGAAACCTGCGGACCCCGCGGCCCCGGACACGTGACACGGATCGGTACTGCAGTCATTCCGGAACAGGGGACGGACGGGGCGGAGCTGGCAACGGCGACGGTTGTAACACAGATCGCGGGCGAGCCGGTGTGTCCGGGGCTCGACGCGGGGTCTATTAAAACTACCTATATACAGACGCAGCCACTACACTTGCGCATGCGTACGCGAGCCACTTGAGCAAACTAACGCGCGGCGGCCTGCCGGCACACGCCGCACGCGACCGGTGCCAATACAATATAAATATTCAACAACTTTAACTTAAACGACGACCCGCGCCCGGATCGGTACGGCCCGGACCGTATCCGGGTTCGATTTGAGACGTAACATGGAACGGGCCGGGCCGGGCCGGGGCGCGGCACGACGCACGCTCGGGACGGGGACACAACAAACACCCTTTTTTTGTAAAATAACGATTCTCCATAAATTTTGGTCCGTACGTCGTTGACTAACCCTGTAGAATGTCGAACCGAGTCCGAATGAAGGAATTAGATACGACGATAGATCAGAGTTCAAACGGAACTTTGGTTAAGATTCACCTATTACACTAATAAATAAAACTTACGGTAACTGTTATACTGATTATTACTATCATAGTATATAATAACATTAAAAAGAGCCACTTCTCTTATAACAATATCGTGAAGGTCAATTCATGAAGTAAGAGAATAAAGAAAGACATCAATATTCATTGTCTTTATATGTATGTACATATATAGTGGAAGAATTTTGTAAAAGGTACTACCTATAAATTTAAATCTAAAATATTGACACATCGAGTGTGCTATAAGATAACTGGCTCTAATAAAGAAGAAATGACAACATCAAGTAGAACAGGAGAAGGAGAAATAGGATCCGCAAAGCGGATATGCGTTTGAGGGAAAGGAAGAAGTGGACCAAAGTCACAGTTAATAAGTCCATAAGTCTCACATAACTAACGGTTACTCGTCAGTAAAAGTACACTTAAAACCGAATATTTAAAAAGCATCACAAATAGATGGTAAATATGAAGTGCCCGGGGCCGGCAGCGGCGTCGCCCGCGACCTGTAAAAGAAAAAAGTAGTAAAGTAAAGATATAATAAAGATATAATATATACGTCTGTTACACCTGGGCATAGGCCCCCTTTCATAACTGAAAGGGTTTTAGTACAAGAAAGTGTCTACCGATGATCAAGGCACGCGGTTTTCAAGCAACTGGTTTAACTTCTGAAGGCAAAATTGCAAATGACCAGTGTCATTGTTGTTAACCGATAAGCGCGCGAATATTGGGGTCATATTTTTCGTTAACAATGATGTTTTGAAGATATTTTTACTTTGTTGCTTACTAGTGATTGAAACAATTATTTATTATTAGTTTTATAATTTAGTTTATAAAACATTTCATTTTAAAAGAGCAATTAATGTCTCTATGTTACGGCTAAAATTCGAAATTTGGACACACCTAGGTTTAGACGCCTACCATCATGGGTACAACAAAGTACGATTCAAATAATAACAGGAACCTCAATGAACTCGAAATACAGCGACTGTTAACTGTCACTTTAAAAGTACCTAGGTCAATTAACCTAGGTCCTAAAGTAACATAGGTCCTCAAGTAACCTAGGTCAATAATCTTTAATGTAGAGTTTATAAAAATGTACTCACTTATCGTGTGGCGTGTTTGTGCTATACGGGATAGTGGGTTCGCGGGCCGCCTATACATCCGCGTACTTAGACAGCTTCTCGCGAAGGATATGGTTTTCCTTCTTCAGTAGCTCCACTTCTTGCCGTAACCCCATATTCTGGAAGATTGTCGCAAATTGTTTTATAATAACTTATTGGAGACCATTCAGATAAAGGTGTTGTTCGTGTAAGTATGATTTCTTGTGTTTAATTTGGTTCTTTGTTTTATTGGTTTGTGTCAAATAATCGTATTGCTTTCTTCTTTAAAAGCGCTTTCTTATCTAATACTAGATAAGTATGTCTAAGCAAACTAGTATTTATCGTGATTACCACTATAAATATGCAATTTGGTGGAAGAGTCACCAAGTTTTGAACTTTAAATTTCATTTAAGCAAAATAGTTTTTACTTGATTAATTTAAGTAATCTGATCTACAATCAAAGGCTCTCTCTAGTGACTTTTGAACAATGACCAGTAAAATAGATTAGAAATAATTTCAGTACTAAAAGGAAAGAGACGTGTGTGTTCATCGTAAATTTACTGCTGAACACAATATTAGAGAATAATGCCATAAATGGGGATGCCATAAAGCGCTATCCGTCAAAAATTGTAGTACCATCCAATATCGTCGCCTCTTGTCAACATGGGCAGGTTATAAGCTGCTAGTAATAATCTGCACTCGACCAATCTTCTATACTAGTAAATTCTCCTACTACTGCTTACTAATCCTTCAAGACTTCTAACTTCTTCAAAAAGTTCTCTTCTTCTTTCAAAAAGTTTTGGACTTCCACGTAAGTATTTTGATAAGGATGTGGATTGTCGATCGTGTACTTAATATACCTTTAATTAATTTAATTAATTTTGGAAATTTCCAACAAACGTCTAACTCACCTCCTTCTCGAGATAACCCGCTCGCAGCGCGATTTGATTCTCTTTCATGCGCCGCGCGTCCCGGGAACGCTTCGCCGCCATATTGTTCTTTCGCCGGCGGGCCCAGTACTTGTCATCTTTCAGGTCATCGGGTACAAACTGCCGACGACGTCGATATGGGGTTAACACGCCGCGCCACACACTCATACCACCCTTCACCCACCAGTGGAACACAATACGCTAGTTACGACGGAGTGGGGACGTGAACATGGTCGCGAACCCGTCCCCACCACGTTGCGACGCTAGCACGCACACGCGAATTTCGGAATCAAGTGAAAACCGTAAAACTAAGCTATAAAAATGCATATTTTTTGTAAATTTACGTTACTGAAATAAAGAATTTACGTAACAGGAAATACGATAAGTTTTTTTTTTATAGATAAGGGTAACAAAACGAGCACACAGTCCACCTGATGGTAAGTGTTTGCTGTGGCCCATAGACATCTACTTCTATCCTCGAGTACGAATCAAAATGCAGATGCGTTGTCACCTGTGAGGCCTAAGGTGGAATGCCTCGTTTCCAGTAAAGTTTCTTCGGTTCTTTACACTCACCATATGAAACACAGCAGCGTTAAGCTGCAATTTTACGCTGGTATTCTGTGAGAGCGTGGTCCTTCGCCGGTCGAGCCGACACATTCGTGCTACAACCATACCAATAATATAGCTGCAGCATGGCTCTACTCGGAAATTCTCTTTCTCTTTACTTTGCCACGTAAATTCTTTTAGAATCTCTAAATTTACGTAATTAAGCTACATCGTGTGTGCGTGCGTTAGATATTATAAACCACTGTACATCCGACTATATTTATAAGGAATATTCCTCAGTAACTACTTATTATTTTTATGCATTTTAAGCACAATACAAACAATTTCTGTAAGACATACTTGAAGAATGTCAATGGTACGGCCAGCCTTTTAAAACAACTGATCTAGCTATATATAATATTTCCACATCTCACGTTTTTGGACGAAAAATGGAATTTATTTATTTTGCCACATATAAATAGAATATTAATTGAATCTTTTAATTTATGTTATTAGTAAGGTTTGGTTTAATTTTAATAAAATTAAAAATCTTTTATAAAACATATAATTTGTATATATAGTTCTTTATTTGTTTCTAAACTACACGTTCAAGCGATAAATGTGCCGCATTTTCTTTTCGTCATTACATTTAAAAGAAATCTGACAGACTAAAATTCGTATTGCTCATCTGAAAGTATAGTATACACTGAAGTAATATTCGTGTTTTTACAGGAATTGTTTGTAATTAAACCCCAAAAGAAAAAGAATTAGAGTAATAGCATTTTAGTGCGTGCATTCACAAACAGTAATAAACTGTGAAACATATTAGAAATTATCAGATAATTTGTCATTTTTATCATAAAATCACTAGTTAAAAATAAAATAAAAAATATTGTGTCTGTCCTATATTCATAAGGGTCATTGAAAATGTCAACAGATAAGAAGGGGCTGTTTACAACATGAGAAGTGACTCACGTTTGTATTATACTCAAGGCCAGGCCAAAAGAAAATAAGTATGTACATTATATTAACCAACCAACTCCTCCTTAATTTAAAAATGTTCAAAATTCCTCGTTAATTTAAGGATGAATTTAGTTAATAGATAACACGTGTGCATTCATTTAAAATTGCGAAAAAAAAATTGAGTATGCCGTGAATCAAATATAACTGATAATTCAACAAAGCCACGACTTGTTTCAGTAATTAAATTCGTTCTGAATACATTTTACGCACTTAAATCGAAGTGATATACTCGTACAACTCGTGATATATACAAGGTTAGTAAATTTTTGAAGAAGCGTTAAAAAGCGGGTGTCATGCTGTGTGTATTTCATGTGGTTTGTGTAGCCTAGATATTACATGAGCACGCAGTGATCATGAGTTGTGATGATCCTGATAATTATTTTATTTTATCATGGTGATCCTGATCAGCATGCTAAATTTATTAAATTATTGTATTGATATCGGTCCTAGATATGAGCCTAGAGCAAATTTTCAATCAGCCCTCTACAAGTTGGTGAAAATGACATTAAAAGATTCCGTTACGGTGCACTTTACGCACTCCTAAAAATCTATACAAATAAATAAAATTGAAGTGTCTGTTTGTAATGTCGAAATAACAGCTTTTTACTATTTGCATATGAAAATATATACGGTACTTCTAACAAAAACACGATTTTAAAATTTTAGTCTGTTTTTCTGCAGTTTGTTTTTTCTGCTAATCTCCGAAACGGCTGGACCGATTTTGACCGGACTTTCACTGGCAGATAACTGATGTTATAAGAAGTAACTTAGGCTACTTTTATTTTAGAAAAATAATCAGGGTTTCATACAAAAAATTAAAACCCATGAAATCCAATCGTAATAAATTACGCGCGGGCGAACTCGCGGGAACAGCTAGTAGATAATAAATGAATACATCGTAAAATATGAATATTAAATATATATTGTGTACTGAAGCAGAGCGTTAGATCATTTTTATAGAATATGGGTGATAAGCGAGCACACAGTCCACCTGATGGTAAGTGGCTGCTGCGGCCTATAGACATCTACATCTGTCCTCGATTAAGATTCAAAATGCAGATGCGATGTCACCCCTGAGGACTACGATAGAATGCTTCATTTCCAGTAAAAAAGGGTCTATGGTTCTCTACACTCGCCATACGAAACACGGCAGTAGGCTGCTATTTGACGCTGGTATTTTGTGAGAGCGTGGTCCTACTACCTAGCTTGGTTCTACCAAATAACAAAATACCAATTACTCCATAACAATCTCAGAAATGAAAGAACTGTGCGTGGAGAGGAGTGTAACCTGTGTGAGCCTAAAAGTCTTGTATCGTTAAAGAACCTTACTAGTATATGATATACAGAGATTATTAGTATGTTCGAACTGCATCATATGTTTGGGTATTCGTATAGTTTTTGCTTATTTTAATTATTTAGTAAGACTAGATTATGTTTTGGTCTCTAACTAAACTCGGAAAAACACCCTGCAACCGTACTCCCCCACCTGAGACGAGCCGAGAAGTGGAGGGTACGCCTGCAGCCGAACCATAAGGAAACGAACCAGGGAGGGGAAAAGAAAAAGTTCGCTAGGCCTTATAAGCTTAGTCGGGTAGGACGGAAGAGGTACTGAAAGTTGTTAGCAGCTGAGATAGGAACCGAAGAGGCCCTCTCTCTCAGCCAGAAGCCCTGGGACGAAATTTCTCTGTCCTAACCTCCCAATTGAAAAAAACGCAGTTGGTCTGAGGGGGAGTCCCCCAAAGACCAGCCCAGGAAATGTGTGAAGCTGGTAACGGGGAAAAAGAAGCTCAGCTTCAGTGCCGTAGCTGGCTCCGCGCGTGTAGGAATTCGCAATTCGAATCCTTTGAGCGTTGAGCAGATGCGGCTGGTCCACCGGACACTAACGCAGGATATTGCTAAGACGGCCTGTGGAGCGCAGCCGGGAATGGGACCAAAATTTTCGGGTTTCACCCACAAGTCAGGTTGGTTCTGGTAACGTGCCTGAATAAGGCAAGCTAGGACTGGATTGTCGGTGAGGTTGGAAAACTGAAACCCTGGCAGAGCTCTCGGTAATACCCGAAAGCGAACTGGCTAAGGCTCAGCTGGGCATCAACTTTTCTGCCCCGCAGCGAAACTGACACTTCAGTGGAGGCGGCTGTGCTGTTGAAGGCACAAAATGAAGGGCTCCATACCGAGCTCTAGAAAATCTTCCACCGTAGAGAAGAGGAGAATGGGTTCCTAGTAACCTTTTCTCTGGACGACCCATCGGCGGAGGCTTTCCGGGCGGCGGGCGGCAGAGTCGTCCTTTGCTTTAATATGATAACTTTTAAGGTCAGGGGTGGCTCTGACGCGGAAATGGAGCCTGAATCGCCCCAACTCCAATCCCCCAGCCCTCCACCTCGAAGGAAGAGACTGAAACATCTTCAGCGAGAGTGACTAAGACCCAAGGCGCTGACATTGCCTTGGTCCGAGGGCGTCCGTTGGTTTCGGTCAGGGTAAGGGATTAGGGATAAGGGGCAGGAATTATGGTGAGAGCGGTAGATTGAAAAGGACGACGGGGGTCAAGAGCGCCAGTAAAGGACGTTTTTGTCATAAACAGGCGAAAACGAACCCTAATCTAAATCTTTAAGGAGCCAAACCATAGAAAACAAATGGAATTATACGACAAATTTAAAGGAGTAATTCGACAAGAGCAGCAGCGCAGAATAAAAGAACGAAGACGGAATTAATTTCAAATTCAAAAGTGAGTAAGACAAGATAAATAAACTGACTCAAAAGCTTTTCAAATGGTTCTGGTGATAAAAAATAATGTCACCACTAGGTTCTGCGTAGAATATGAAATGCTGAACAACGGGACGAAGAAAGACAGCTATCCTCTACCACAAACAGATGACACGCTGAATAAGCTCAGTGGAGTTATGTGGTTTTCGACAGTTGATTTGAAAAGCGGGTACTGGCAGGTAGAGATTACCCCAGAGGACATAGAGACGACAGCGTTTAGTACAAGGGTTGGAAGTGGACTTTGGCAATTCAGTGTAATGTCATTCGACTTGTGCAATACTCCTGCAACGTTTAAACGCCTTATGGACAGTGGACTTTTATATATTCAGTCGTGTCCATCAAATGGATCTGACTGAATATATAAAAGTGAAACAGTTGAACTATTTTATTCATACAAATGTATGGTCTTATGTTGTATTTCACCCTATGAATACCGTTTTGTCTGATGATTGTAAAATCAACCCTTAGGAAACTAGGATGGAATATTGAGATGAATAGTATAAAATTGTTAAATGTTGATTAATTTTTTCATCTAATTTCACCTAAGACGCGGTAATGAGCTATCATAATTTGCTTAGAAACCTTCATCACTTTACACATGGTCTATTACTCGTAGTTAATGGAAGCACACGTATGTTTTATAAATTACTACAGAAGGCAAGAATGATTATCTTGCAACAAAAGGTTGGTGATTAAGAGAAAAGAGAGAAGAAATAACAAGACTGAAAAGTTGCTAGTCATTCAAAGATAATAAAAAATGAAAACCATATTGATTTCTTAAACTACAACACAGGCATTCTACTGTGCCTTTAAATGTCTGCTAAACATGGCCTTTTACAGCAATAAACAGTCATTAATTATTAGTAGGTCAGCATGGTATGGAAAAAGTGTTAGATTTATGATTATTAGATAAATAGGGAGCTACTAAAACTAGAAACATTTTCAGAGGTTTCATAATCAAATAAAAAAACTCAGGAAAAGTCTATAGGACACATAATAAGAAAGAAAATGAAACAGAGGACTACTCGTAAATGTCCAGTGGAATGGTATACCAGAAATGGAGAAATACGATAAGGAAGTTGACGAAAAAAACTAGGAAGGGGAGAAAGGCGTTCAGAATTGGTTTAAATGGGGAAATTAGAGCAGGCCTATATCAACAAATAATTTAACCAGAAAATAATGGTGTGTAGATTGATATATCTTCAATAAAAATTGTTTCTCTTTGTTTTGTTTATTTTAAAAGAATTTTGCATAAACTATAAGATTTTGAATTTTTGTATATTCACGACCGTGTCTACATTTCAGACACTTTATAGATCTATTAGATGAAAAATATATTCGACAACTGAGCATCGAAAGCGCGCCTTTGGAACTTGGTTATTTTACTACAACGCCGCGTGTACTGGTAGTGATTCCCTACCGAAAACTTTGTGTGTGTCAGTGTCATCACTTCAAAGCTTTTAGGTCTACTTGTTGCGATGTTTCTAGCACTCCATCTTGCCCTCTTCCTGTTTTGTTGCATACGGATCGCATTTGGCAACACACGGTTGTGACGAGTGAGTGTCTTTAGGTTAACGAATACAGTTATGATACTACGTCTTCTAATCTAAATAGCTAAAATGTTCCTTTATTTATTTTTAATTACTTACTAGTAATTACCAAGCTTTGATTCGAATGACATAAATAAATAATAATCGAAACACATCATCACTCCAAACATGATAAAAAAAATCCAAAAAAAGTAATATTTTATTGTTATTTAAGATCATTACCGATAAAAATGCATGTAAATATATTTTTACGTAAAACGAAAGGACAGGAATAAAGAACACATGAAAATAACATAAAAATATAATAGCTCTCACGTCTGTCCCCAACAGGGGTAGGCGGAGACTTCGGACTTCCATTTGGCACGATCATGGTCTTGTCAGGTCATGCTCAGGTCACAGCTTCACAGACCTCTCTCGCTTTTTTCAAATCCACACATCTACGCATACGTGCTCGTAAGTGAAAAGACTCTTAACATTACCTATCTTCAATATACCACAAATTTTTTGGTGGATGAAATTCCGTTTAGGGCGTCTGTCGCCTACTCTGCCACTCACTTCCGATTTTACCATCATTTTATTTAATGTTAGAAAGGAGTTAGTGCTTCCAAATATAGGTATAATACAACACAGACGGGTTATCGTGTATATTTACATGTGGCTCTGTGAATGAAACCAGATTAGAAATTTTTAACTGGTGTCCCAGTGTCAATGTTAACTATAATAAGTGGACAATACCTGTCCCTCAGGATAAAACGAGTGAAAGGTGTGTACTGTATACGTGTGTGTTATTGTGAGTGACGCCGCACCCCGCAGGCTGTTTGCAGCATGCCGCTAGGAATGATCAGCGCACTAACATCATTTACCTGTTTCCGGGACTTCTTGATCATGGGCTGCGGCTTGAGCTCCTCATCGGAGAAAGCACGCGTCCGGGGATCGAAATCGCGCCCTGACGATGCCATTGAAAATGCTGTAAATTTAGAAAACTTTATTAATTACTGTTTTTTTTTTGTTTTTTTATGTTGAACCCAAGGATTGAAAACCGTTTCTAAATTTCGTTATGGTTCTTTATTTACGTTTCAAAAACGTTCCACTTTTCGGCAATGTCCCGGTTCTGACTCCGGAAACGAGTTTAAGATAAGTAACGTTTACAAAATACTGATGTTTTATGTTTAAATTCGAAGAGGTAAGTCTTCTTGGCGTATCTTACATTTATTTCCAACTTCAATAAGGAAGATAAATATATATAAGATTTATATAACACGATATCTTCCTTTATTAAATAGATTAAGAGTGGTCCCAGAAAAGTTTAGAAAAATGTGTAAATTTTTAAGGGTACTAAAGGGACTTGAACGTGGTAGAGCCATGCTGCAGCTATATTACTGGTATAGTTGTAGCACGAATGGGTCGGCTCGACCGGGAGAGGACCACGCTCTCACAGAATACCAGCGTAAAATAGCAGCTTAAAATCAGCTTAGCAGCAGTGAGTGTAGAGAACCGGAGATCCTTTTTAATGGAAAAGAGGCATTCCATCTTAGTCCTCACGGGTGACAAGGCATCTGCACTTTGATTCATAATCGAGGATAGATGCAGATATCTATGGGCCACAGCAACCACTTTACATCAGATGGACTGTGTGCTCGTTTCTCACCCTTATCCTATAAAAAAGGGAATAAAAGTTTTGAAAAAAAAGAACTTTTGAAGTTGGGGCTTTAATACTAAAGCTATTATGTGAAAGTTATGTTAATGTTTTTAGTTTTTTGTAGTATTTTTTTTATTAAAATTTATATTTGGCAATTACTGGAGTTGTAACAATATTAGGATACAGGAACTTATTACTTTATGATGTCTTTGGTGACTGTCGCTCAATAAGGCCATGTATGTTATGTAAGGCCATGTATGACCAGTTAGTTGATACATACCGGTTCGTTACCGGTATTTTTGGAACCTTTTTATTCCATACCGCAGATTAAAAAATAAATAAACAAGGAGCGCTGCGTACATCTAAAATCATTTGCAACTATCAACATGATTTGAGATGCATATGCGTGCGTTCAGCAGGGAGCGAGAACTTTTACGGGCTGATAAAAAAGAAAAAAGAAAGATGAGTGCATGATTGTGTCCAGAAATCGAGCATGGTTTTTGGGTCACTTGAAATATATGCGGCGCTCGATTTATATTTCTATTTTGGTCGGAGATTTCTGCTAGAAGCTCGTCTGGATTGAGCTAAGAGATACCCTCTTCGCTTCGACAGACGCGCATATTCCGGTGTTAATGGTAAGATAAAACTGAAAAATTATTTGGGTACCCCAACAGAAAACGGGGGTAGTAGTGGAAGTAGTTTGAATGTTAGAGTGTTTAGTAGCTCATCATCAGATTGGCTGTTAGCTCGTTACTCATTAATATTGTAAAAAAGTATTATTACTATTTCAAGAGTTTAATAATGCAACACAAATCTATCCATTCCACTCCATCATAAGTGGTTAGCATCCATTTGTGTGATTAATTCTAAAATATTAACATATAGAATTTAGATTAAGGTAATTTTAATACAGAATAAGAGTGTCAAACAAGCACACATGTCACCTGATGGTAAGTGGATGCTGTGGCCCATAGACATCTACATCTATCCTCGGTTAAAAATCAAAATGCAGATGCGTCGATAATTATCACAATGAATTTATTTTTGTAAGAAATTTCAGATGGTTTTCCCATCAGTTTTTAGATTGAAAAGACTTAAATGATTTTATTGGCCGCGTAGTAGCGGTGTAAGAATATCCACTACCCCATATCGTTCTGTGGGTATTATAAGAAGCGACAGAAGGAAGCAAACCAAGAAGATGCGCAAAAGCGACTTTCTATTAACAACTAGAATATGAAAAACTGTGGTTGCCAACCCTCCTGCCGGGAGGCCTATGTATCCTGGTAGGCCTATGTTCAACAATGTACGTTGATAGGGTGTAATGAATGAATGAATGAATGAATTTTATTGAAGAATATGTTGTACTACAAAACCTTCAATCTAAATTAGGTTTTTGAAAATTCAAAGTATGAGCCGTTTTATCATAAAGAATCCTTGTTTATTGATGTACAAAACAAATACTAACTTGAATCGGCGGGCGAGAGCGGCGGGTTGATGGTGTCGGGACTCATGCAATCGGAGGGTGATGGTGAGCGCTCTCGCTTGGTGATGGGCGCCTGGAGTCCCAGCGCCAGGCCCGTGCCCGGCCCGAAGGCCGAGCCACCGAGGTGCGCACCGCCCAGGCCTTCGCCCGGCATGCCATTCTCCGACAGGAATTCATCTAGGTCCACGTACTGAAAACATCCAACGTGACACGTCACAGATCGCACGCAGACCCCGATCGACTAATTGGGAGCAGCGCCGAACGATCTTCGTTACGAGCGTGCGATAAACAAAACATAATATACCACTAGAGTAATGAAAACGCAACAGCAAAAAACATTATCATGAAGATTTAATTCGCAACGGGCCAATTCGCTTGCTAAATGTTTGCACATATCTTATTATAAAACTTAAAAATAAAGGTAAATTAAACACAGCGACATTGGAGCTACGAGTAAGTCTGCCAAGCTTCTCTATTACCTAGTGCGAGCATGAGCGGTTAGGAAGCCTGTGAGAGACGCACACAACACGCAACACGCAGTAGGTAATAAAGTTTACGTATACTGACTTCTTGTACCTTGAGATCGGGGTCGTAGGGCAGGGTCTTGTCCCAAAGGTTGGGTCCGAGGAAAGCGGCCTGCGCCTCCCACAGCTCGCTATCATCTTTCTTGTCTTCTAGCGTGTCCTTACTGTTCACCGACTTGCCTGTAACAATAAGAGTGTGTGCCGGGTCACTGCAAGCCCGCGGTCGCGCCCACGCGGTCCACACCTGACAACGATGCGCGGCGTTTTTCTTTAGCGCATTTACAAACGGCGTTCGCGGAATTAATATTTTAGTTACGCAAGTCGTGCTTGTAACAGTCATATATATATATGGTTGTTATATATATAAAAAATTAAAAAACGTACATAGTGATAACTACAATAGGTTGATAGTTGCCGGTTGATAGGGTTCGTGGCAAAATTGTCGGTGTGGTCCCGCTGGTATAAAATAGGGCGCAAAGCGCAGGGTGCATTACAACCAACGCATCGCGGTTTATAATTATAATTGCAAACTAAAGATAACATTCGCTAAGCCAAATTTATACACGTGTTGATATAATGTACTCACAATTGAGTCGCAAAAGCAATATATGAACAACTAACAAAGGCGTATTTAGGTAAATTATTATTTTATTCTAAAAGTATTATTAGTAAATAGTGGCGAAGGAAAGTACTGAAATATGGTTAAAAGTACTGAATATACGGTACAAGTACGGCAGAGGCGGAGGGATACTAGTAAAAGATAGCGTCGTTTTCTTGGTTTATACCAACTAGTGTGATTGATAACTGGGTTATTAAAAAAACCACTTCAAATTTTATCGAAACTGCTTGAAACTTAAATGTTACCATACTGCGGTAAATAAAAATATGCAATTTTTTTAATAACTAACCTTGGAGATGTCCTCCAATAAACACATATTAAAAAAGAATATACAGTCGAATTAATATTTAATAAATACTGTCGAATAAATATCGTTTTGAAGCGGAAAAGCAAACAAACAAATTTTATTTCAAAATTTATTTATTTTATTTTGTAAATAAACGAAATAGAAAAAAATGTTAATTAAAGAATACATAAACTTAACATAATCCACAAACGCTAATTCCATCTCACTCTCTAACGCTGGTGTCTTTCAGCGCAGGATGTAGGTATATTTATAACACAGCCATTCTTAATTCGTATTTCTGTTTAACAATAAAGCAAATGGTAAAAATAAAAATTTTGACAACCAATATAAATTATTAAGGATAACTCAAAAACTACTGGTACGACCTTGATCAAATTTATATGGGACCACATGGGAGCTTGAGCTAGAGCACCGGCTTTTAAATAAAAAAAGAATCATCGAAATCGGTTCATCCAGGAAAAAGTTATGAGGTAACACACATGGTCCTTCACTGCTGGCCGTATGAGGAAGCTCAAGGTCGCTCAGCGAGCTATGGAGAGGGCTATGCTCGGAGTTTCTCTGCGTGATAAACTTAGGAATGAGGATATCCGCAGTAGAACCAGAGTGACCGACATAGCCCAACGGATTAGTAAGCTGAAGTGGCAGTGGGCCGGCCATATAGCTCGAAGAACCGACAACCGATGGGGAAGAAAGGTTCTCGAGTGGCAGCCTCGTACCGGTAGGCGAAGTGTAGGGCGTCCCCCCACGAGATGGAGTGACGACCTGGTAAGACATGCAGGAAGTCGATGGATGCAGGTGGCTCAGGACCGTGTTTTGTGGCATTCTTTGGGGGAGGCCTATGTTCAGCAGTGGACTTGTGAAGGGCTGTAATGATGATGACGATGACACATAAAAAACATACAGTCGAATTGAGTACCTACTCCTTTTAGAAGTCGGTTAAAAAGAGCAATGTTGTTTTGAAATTGTTGACCCATATAGGTAGTAGTATATTAAAATAGTTATCATACAATTTTAGCCATTATATCACTTTGAAGAAGAGACTTTTACTTATTAAATTTATACAGCCAAAAAGATAGAAAAAGTCACACAAGCGATTATAGAATGTTAAAGATACTTTTTACTTTCGTCAAATAATTTAATACATGTGTGTTTAATAATGTACTTCATATAATTCGGTATTCTTTTTAGCAGACTTTTAAAAATGACTTTTCTATGAGTCACAGCATTCATCACGTGGACTGTGTCCTCGTTTGTCCTTGTTTGATTGTATAAAAACGGGGGAGACTTTAAATTTCACTATATATTTATACGTATGTTACGCGACAAATCCGTCAATTGTGAACGAATGTTAATGCTTCTTTTTATTGAACATATACCACGAGGACCGTCGCTTTTAAATTTGAAGAAAAATTCCTCTCCTAAGAGTGGATAATAGAAATGAAAATCTATAAAGACGTCGTTCTAGTTGTCACCTTGAGCTTGAGTTATTGTTCACTCAACTAAAAACGGTCAAATAATAAAACATAAAAAAGTAAAACCGACTTACAAAACTAATAGACTTTTTTTTAAATAAGGGTAACAGAGCACACAGTCCACCTGATGGTAAGTGGATGCTGTGGCCCATAGACATGTACATTTATCGCCAATTGAGAAATAAAATGCAAATGCGTTGCCACCCCTGAGAACTGAGACGGACTCGACACTCACCACACCACACCAAACCTGCAAATATTACGTATTCTGTGAGAGCGTGGTCCTACCCCATTTGAGCCGACCCATTCGTGTTACAACCATAATGTAGCTGCAGCGTGGCTCTACCACGTAAGACTAAAATATTTTCTACATAATTTCATAGCTTCTGAAGTTCAGTGGCTTTAATTCTTTGTCAAACTTTCTTCTAATAGCCAACTTCAGAGGCCTATTAAAATATGTGGTAAATATTTAATACCGTTTAGTTTTTAAGTCGGTTTTCACTTTTAATTAGTTTCTTTTTAGTTTTATTACGATTTATAATTGTGACATTTTAAACTAAAATAAGTTCTATTGCATGAAACTAAGTTACAAGTTTTTCTATTGCGAAAAAGATATTTATAATATTGAATGGAATCATAAGCGGCTGAAGTGGTTGAGAGAGCACGTGAGCACAGCTTTGTTGAAGGGCGTAATGTGAGTTGAGCGGAGGCGACGCGATTGTAGGGGGGGCATCACGAGGCCAAACACGCATGGAACGAAGAGCAACGTGACGATGCGCCCTTTTGGCTGTAAACCACAGCATCCACTTACTATCAGATAGACTGTGTGCTCGTTTGTTACCCTTATACTATATAAAAAACATGAGTTTACTTTTTAATTAAATGAACGCGACCCAAACCCTAGAACGCACTTACATCTCAATAGCATGGTAGAGCACAGAATGGATAGAGTCTGCCGAGAAAGGACCACGCTCTCAAAGATTATCAGCATAAAATAACATCATAATGACATGTCTGTTTTTATTGACTAAGGGTGACTAACGAGCGCACTGTCTACCTGTTGGTATGTGAAGGCTTTGGCCCATAGACACCCACATTCATTCTCGATTAAGAAACAAAATGAAGATGCGTTGTTACCTCTGTGGATCAAAATAACTCCTCGCCTGTTAAGTATTTTTAAGTAGTAATATTATAATTGCACATGGCAATGTTAACAAATGAAATTGTATTTAATCCTCTTAATCAGAAAATTTTGAAATTTTAGTATGTATTAGTAAGTTAATGTAATTAAATTGTTTATAAGTATTTTTATTCTGAATAAATAGTACCAATCATCGATATATATGTACTACGTACTAGATTTCGCATTCCGAACATACACTATGTTCAACTGAACTGTACTGCAATCCGTACAGTGTGTCATTTAGTGTGGTTTCAATCTACTAGTTAGTCTGTGGTGGCGCAACTGCGTACGCGCGACTCTACTATCACCCGCGCATGCGCCAAGACATAGAGTAGTGCATATTTTTTGTTTAGAATGGCTTCTCTAGTACGTAATACATATAACTCAATGGTGCCAATAGAATCCATTGACCTATTTCTTCGCGTGGGAGTCATAATATTCAACTATGGGAAATGCGAGAAATGGTACAACCATTTAGGTTACGTGAGTAGTGGAATATCCAGGCTAGTGACGGGCAACGGCATCAAAGTTGCGAAACGGCTGGTATTGCCATTGTCAATTTCTCCCTTCAAGGTAGAGACCAGAGTCACAGACCGATAAACATAAAGATATCGTACCCATAACAATTTCCACTTTCTTTCTTCCTTACAAGAGTTCAATAATCCCAAAAATGATTAAAATGATAAAAACAATCAGATCACGGAAAAAATATTTAAAATATTTTTTTAAAGTTCTAAAATAATTAAGTTAAAGTATATTTCTTTCTAGGTGGTATGCTTCTTTTCAGGCTAGGAATCCGTCTGGATAGACCATCCTCTTACCTATTTCTGTCTGAAGGGTACATAGAGCCGCTATAATTAGAGGATGTAAGGAATTCCACCTAAGTTATCGGAAGTGACAACAAAGCTGTAGCCTTCCTTGTTTGAAGTTGGTTTTAGATGTCCACGGACTGCAGTAACCACTTTGGTTCGTTTGTTAGTTCAGTTTTATAAAAAAATATAACGTAACTAGCAAAATTCTAACGATATATAGTTGATATAAGCGCCATCTAGTGGTGAGTTACAATAAAGTCAATAAAACATCCTTCTAATCTTATCCATGAAAAACATACATAATATACCAATGTTCATGGTGGTCAGAAGTCTATTAATCTCAAACAGATACCTAAATTTTTAAATTTATAGATTACAATGCATCTCTGAATAAACAATAAAGATTCTAAATTATTACTTATTTACTGAGAGGACCAAGTTTCAGAGGCGTGAAAAGAGTTATATTGAATATTATACCGGAATTTAACTTTATCAGCCACATGAATTAACTAACCTATAAACATGACGAAAATAATGATCAAGATTGGGTTCGAATTAACATCACAATCACAATTTTACAACGGGAGCGAACCGCGAAGCATTTCCTGATAAAAAACTTGCATAGTTTACGTAGGGTGGGGCGCGAGTGGGGGCGGTTGCAGGAAGCGGGAAGTAACACAGTTGGCGATGTTACGTGCACCGCTACGCTTTCCTCCGCCGTTCCGCGCGGTCGAAACACGCACACCCCCACTTTATTGCACAACTGCTATGTAAATACGTACCGAAG